AGCTAGGTATACATTACCCGTGTAAGCATACATAAATATATCCCCATGCAGCTAGGTATATATTACCCGTGTTAGCATACATAAATCTATCCCCATGCAGCTAGGTAAACATTACCCGTGTTAGCATACATAAATCTATCCCAATGCAGCTAGGTATACATTACCCGTGTCAGCATACAGAAATATATCTCCATGAAGCTAGGTATACATTACCCGTGTAAGCATACATAAATATATCCCCATGCAGCTAGGTATATATTACCCGTGTAAGCATACATAAATATATCCCCATGCAGCTAGGTATATATTACCCGTGTTAGCATACATAAACAGGGTTCTCTTCTATAAATGCGATAGGGGTTTACATTCCGATGAATCTAATGCTCATTTACCCGAATATCTAAATGCTGGAAAGTATTACAAACAACATAGGCACCATTCCAACACGAATGTTATTATGTCTGTTGATTTTTATGTTGTGATGTTATCTTCTGCTTCTTTTTTATTTGTTTTAAAGTATGTCAATATTGTGATAAAGGACTGTTGACTATTGAAATTTAATTTCTGTATTATCGATTGTTTTACTTGTATGATGTGTAATATAGTGAATTATAGCCCATGAGGTATTCGATAAACACGATATCATAAACAGATCTAAACAGTTGTTTTCCTTTAGACCGCATTTAATATCGATAATTACGCTACGTTACGATACGACAACCACTGCTTATTATTCAAACAAACATTCCACAGGTGCCCTGTCCACTTAACGTGTACAACCATGTTTAGCATTGTAAGCGATATCTATTTCCATAGAAATTTACAAATGCTGTGTCCACACCATTCCTCGCGTATGACTAAAGGTTTTTGTATAAGTGCTATTGTTAGTATTAAGTTGAGATGTGGTGCGTATCTCTCCCTGAATTATGCGATACGATACATATGTGCTCACTGATCCTTTTACAACATTGTTAATGTTTTACCATAGCACATACAACTATTTAAATCGTAACGTCGTGAATATAAAAACAACATAGCAAGTTTCGAATAAGTTTGATTTGAAAGACTGTTTGATCATGTCTTACTTTTCATCATCACAAAAAACAATACAGCGTTCCGCTAAGGTTCAAAGATAGGGAAAATGGAAGAGTGTCCTTTGTGACTTTACAAAGCACTGTCAGCTTAAACTGTAACAGTCCAGACATATTATTTACCGCACACATCGTCTGTGCAGCAAACAGGGCTTGTTGTGCCGTTCAAAGGTTTGTGTAATGTCCTGTCACTATAACTATTGCTTGTTTATAATTTTGAGATGTCACAAATAAGTACAGCTGAATAATACCAGACACTGTGACGTTAATTTAAGATATCCCAGATCCATAATTATATATTCAAAGAGACGATATTGTAATGATTTTTCATTCCTATTATTTTTGAAATTTTGCATTATTTCATCTATTTATTTTATCTATTTCTGTAATTATTTTTCTATTGTATTTTCACCAACTTACCAACTTACCAATTTACCAACAGTATCAGGTCTGTGTTTTGTTTTGCTTTGTTATGTTTTTATCTTTTTTTACTAGATCCCCTTTTCATTAATTTAATTTTAGCATATTTAAAACCATTCACCTGTTTTATTTCATTTCTTTCTATTTTCTATTTTGTTTTGATTGTGTATTTTTACGTTTTGTGTTTAAGAAGCATTCGTGGTATTATATACGAACGGACGACACAAACTTGTTATCTAAATTCATTATTATAGCTTACATTTTTTTATATTTTTGTTTGATTTTGAAGCTTAATGCTACAGATTGAGACATCAATTGAAATACTATAAACTAATAACAATATTATGAGCCATCCTTTGCGATTCGCCCTTCATTGAATTTAATCTGATTTGAAATGAAGGATATTTGTGATTACAACTTACACACACGAAATTCTGCTATGTAATTATTGCTATAATCCTGTTTTATTGTGTAGCGTAAAGATGAAATAACTCAAATTAAAGTTGTTTGCTGTATCACTGTTTATGTTCGCACATTGTTTTTTGAGTTTGGGTTTCACGCGCCTACCCTTCTATTTTATCTGGTGTTTCATACTTTGGATTTCCAAAGCTTTGGTCCCTAGCATTACTTATAAATCGTAGAAGGACGAAACAGCTTGATGAGGTGTGAATCATTTTTGGCACACTAAATACCTTACCAACATGTTTTAAAGGTGACACTTCCTGTGTGCGGGTTAAACTCACTGTTAAGCATGTACATTTAATGTTTTAGATTTTTTCTGGCGGATTGTTTAGTCCGTGAGGTTTGTCGTTATATTTGTTGCCTATTGTTGTTAAAACAAACAAAGTTTTAAAACACCTTACATGATAACATGAAATCCGTGTACAAACATTTCTATAGCAATAATGATAAAACTGATGCTCGCAGTTAAAGAGACACTCTGAAATTGTTGTTTACATTTTCTTTCCTGTCGCGCGTTGTCTGTCTAACTATTGATATGTATTAAGAAGACTGATATTAATCAAGGGGAGGAAACTCGGATGTATAAGCCGTCAGACATTTGCATATAGTGAAGGGAAGAATTTGAGCATTTGCTCATAAATCCGAATATGATATATTTTGTAAAACCTGACAAACAAAATAAGCGCAAAGCTTACGCTAGTTCCTGTTGTATTAGTTCTATCATATTTTCGTTGTTTGAGACTTTTCAATTAGCACGAATTCACACAATTGACATATCAAATTGGGCGCCTTGGTAATGCTATAATAGCACTGTTGATTGGTTAATTACTTCTATGACAATACTTACTGCAGCAATAATATTTGTGATATCTCCATACTCAACATTATGATAAATAAATAAAATACATAATTGCTCCGTCCCTGCTGAAAAGGAAGATTGCTTAAGCCTTTGTGACATCAGGATTTTTTTTATGTGGAACTGAGATTGGGATAAACTATTAAACACTGTCACTGTCACTGTAAGCTTGGAATATAAAATGACTCGTTCATTGCCACATGCTGAAACTTAAATGTAAATACAGTAATTTATTTAACTTTTCAAACGCTATTCTTTTTTAACTATAAAAAGATAATATGATATTTCGAATTGTTAGAAAACTCACCAGCAATGCATAAATGTAAGATATGTTAACCTTTCCACAGGATACCCAATAATGACTGCCTTGATCTCTATGTAATAAATGACATTGTGTATTATGTCGGTATGATAATAACTACTCTGGTTGTATTATTAGATTGTTAATTAAAACTTCTGAAAATGTTTTTGCTCTGAAGTGTTACCTAATTAAGCCCAAATGTTTCTTTGTGTGATCTGTACCTTTAACATAAATTGTAAGCAGTGTAATGTTAAGTGTTGTGTATTATATACTGTTACAAGTGTAATATATACTCTATACAGTATACTATATATTGTATCGTGTATTATATAGTCTACATAATTTGTTGTATATACTGCATATAATGCAATATGTAATGTATACAGTATAATGTTTACTGTAAACGGTGTTATGAATAATGTCAACAGGGCTATATATAATGTGTGTTTGAAATTTGTTGTGTTATAGTTATTGTATACAGTATGGTATGTAATATATACAGGGTTATAAACTTTATACGTGACTACATAATATTTATAAATTTACATTCCCTATATAGGCCAGTGTACTACTGTAAACGTTCTTATATTAGCGCACTAAAATACAGGAATCAAGTTGCTTCATAAATAACTTAGTACAAGCTTTGAGCACAAACAGCACTTATATTAGACTATCGAAAACAAAGGTAAATTTAAAGTGCTTAATAATTACTGTTTACATGTATTTTTGCGTAAATTATGTGTTTTGTGATATCTGAATAAGCAAATTCAATATGACTGTGAATATGTTTAATCATATTGTGTATCCATCACATTTTAAATACAGATGAACAACGTTTTAATTTTCGCATCTTCCCTAAATATTAGCTATGTAAAATGATAGCTACAATAAAATAGTTCACAAGTTAATGTTAAAATGTTTATCATCAGAAAAACCATTATCATATATACATAATATATATAGACCTTAACTTCGGTTGAAAGGATGTATAGAACTTATAATACTCCGAGTGATTAGTCAATATTTCAGAAATGTCACGTGTTTTCAAAAAGAAAAGAAGCGTTTAACTCTTTCCCAGTAGTTCCTGAGACGTACAATCAATGCATACAATCCTCTCCCACCATCTACATATTCTTGTCTATCCTGGTCATCGATTTCAGCCTCTGCCCGGGTATGTGGCTGCTCATCGGCTACCTCTTCTCGGTAAATAGGAAGGTTTGGTTCCTCTTCAATAAGATCTAATGGTTTCGGGCTTGCCTTTGGTTTCCTTTTCTTCCTTTTTTCTAGTGTCATCTTTGTTGCTATTTCAAACGTCGTATTTGAATAATATTTTACACCATTTTGGTCTATTATGTGTTCAATCTTACTGAGTATGGTTTTGACTTGCCTATCTTTATCCTTTGGTGATAATGCGTTGTTATCTAGAAACACAGATTCACCTTTACACATATGAATAAACGTAATAATCTCATCTGGGAGACTGTCAAGAAATTGATGGTCAGTCAGAAATTGTTTTCTCATTTGATCTGAATGTGTAAACACCACCATGGTGTGATCTACCATCGAGTCTCCAAATGTGCGTCGCAGTAGGTCTAGAGTATCACGTTCTTCCGGTGTAATCCGGGTGTCTGCCCGTATTGTGAGTAAAAACGCATGTGGACCTGGAATAGCGAGACCTATACATCTAATTAGTTCTTTCTGTGTTTCCTCTTGAGAGAGATGGCTGTCAAACAGCCCGAGAGTATCAACAATCATAATGTTTCTGCTGTGTACGCTTGCCCTAGAAAAAGAACAGTTTCTCGTGCCGGAAGTACCTCCTGGTTGCGAAATGAATGGTGCTCCTCCTAAAATAGTGTTCCCAGTAGAGCTTTTACCAGACCCTGTCTTCCCGATCAGAATAACTCTCATTTCTATAGCAAGTCTTCGCACTTGGTCTACAGAAAAAATAAAAATGCATGTGAATTATTTCATATTTTGTCCGTGATCTATATGTACCATGGTATGATTGGCATAAAACTGTAATTGAGAACATATGGAAGTTATAGAAACAGCAAACTGAGCTTTAATAATATTATATCCCTGTGTAAATCTGATTTTGACTTATAATCGATGCAATGATATGCTTAGTTATGTTTAACCTCCGTTGAGGTATAACATTATACTTTATCAACCCGAAAAAGGTTTTACTTTCCCCATTGTCTCACTCTTAACGAATAATAATGATTCTTTATTTGAAGATAATTGCACAATATCATATATAATTTTCAAGTGTTACGTCACGGCCTAAGCTATTCAGAATGCATGACATTTGCATGTCATCAATCATATGATAAACAAAAAAATGTCGGTACTAATGAGCTACCTACATGTAAAAGCAAAGTGTTGAGAACATAAACATGGTCCAATTCATTAGCTTGAAATTGCCCTGTAAATATATGAATTACTGATAAAACTGATTTATAATTAAATATCAATATCATATATTATTTTAAGGAATAATATTCAGTTCCATCTGATGTCGTATACATTAGCGGAAAGAACATAATTTAAACGATGGTATGACAACCACCTGACTATACTACTGACTGTCAAAATCTGTCTAGCGAATTTGAGTTGTTTAAAATATTTGAACTAAAAAGGTTTCTTTTTCCACAATGGTCAATTGACTATGTACAAATACAAATGTGTAATGAGTGATTTGAAAACACTACATATTGACGCCAATATAAATCCTATTGGATTTAAACCAGAATCGCGACTTAACGCGACATGATTACTAACGTCATATAATGCTATTTCCTGCTGATGAAAACAGATATACTTACCACTTATTAGAGAGTTTGGCGGTAGTGACATTGATCCTGTTTTACCGGGTTGCAGTTCCCCAACAGCCGTTTCAGCCATAGTAAAACTATAAGATTATAGAATAAATGTACATGTTTGTGTCACTCAGGAACTAACTTAAGAAATTAGATAATATCACTTTTGTATTTTAAACAGATTTATATGATGTTCCTACTATAGAATGTCAATTTTAAGATTGATCGTGTTGGCATCAGAGCAAAGCCGTGTATTTAGTGACTGAGCTTTATTAGTATGAGTTATTGCACTGCTGTTGAGTACTTAGTTTATAAAATACCGGAGGGAATGATTAACCTGATTGGTCCTAAGTGTCACCGTACCAATACAAAACAATGTAACGATTCACCAGAAACTGTCTTTCAGCTGTATTGTGCAATAACATTCTTTTTTGAATACTGTATATAATCCCATCGTTGAATGGTGCAATCACGTGCGTGTTTCTTACGTTCAACGTTCAACACAAATAATTGTTAAGGACATGATACCGTGCGTGACTATTACAAAAGAATATACAGATCAGATGTCAAAATCAAAGACGTTCTAAGTGGAACAAATATACACAGGACCGGGCCAGGTATTGTTTGAACCCTGAGCCGATCCCAATTCCGATAAAACCCAGACACAGCAGATACACAAAAACAACAAAAGGAACATAACACTACCTGTTGTTTACACTATCGACGAATCATGTAGCTACATGTACGTCTATATAAATAGATTCATTCACAATATATTCGTACCACCATAATCGTATCACACATCTTTGTGATAATCCTACAATGTTCGCAACAACCTATGATTGAGTTATAAAGGAAATGCTATTTCAACAACGAATGGCCTCTGTAAGACTTTAACATAAAATTATATACTTAAGTTACTTCGTGCCAGTTTTTGACCTGCCATCCACAGTAAAGAAATACACACTATCTTTCAATACTGAAAACCTGATCGAAACTGTTTATGTTTCACGTGCAGTGATTATTCCTATGAGTGGTGACAGAATATTGTCTCAAATAAAAAGTGTTGTGAACTTCTTTCCTGTGCTCGGTGATTTGTTTTATATGTTTCCAAAAAACACGTGATTAATTTACAAAGACAAAAATAAAGCATATATTTATCTGATATTTGACATAGGTATCACTTATTCATTATTTATCATACGTTTATACAGTAAATGTCTTATCGTGTGCGGATCACACTAAATCTTATGATACATGGAAATCTGAGATAAAATTTAAGAATTGACAAATGGATCATCTTCTAAACCGATTGTTCTTATTTCTTATAAAATGACGTCGAGAATTTTAAGTCGGTATAACATGAAGCATTAAAACCCGGGTATAATTGTATTTAAAATGAGACACCGTCATTCAATGTAAACATATACACATTATGATGCTATCAAGATAAACAAAGATATCACACATTTGTGTGTTGGATCTGATCTGACCCGCCATATTGACAAGTGGTTAAGTTATCACGTGACATTGATATTGTATTTCAATTTTAAACAAACATTTAAAGATAAGTGCGCATCTACGTCATGAGCTATTTACACATTTGTTAACTATTGAAACATTGAACTGTTATGAGACGTGTAGTAGATAATGCATTTAAATAAGATTGATTAAATTCATATGTATATCTTAAAGGTTGAAACCAGTGTATGGTGTGTAGCAAAGCATGTTATTGACACTGCACTATGTATAGCATCGGTCATGTATGTAGGATAGTGTTTACATATTTCGATATGAAATCAGTGTTGTAAGTTACATTATAAAGGAAATTATATAATTTGGTGAACAATTTAATACTTAACAACGGAAATTATTGTTCTTTCGAGGGAATTGCTAGTAAGTATCGGTTGTACAGTAAGGTCCTATTTTGATATACAATCTATGTTTCTTATTGTCTGTATATTAGAAAGCAGTAATGGATAATCAGGCACGCCTATATCAGTTCAGATATAAAGCTATTATGGGTAAACTGTAGTATTGTCTGAGAGAAAGATAAACGATAAAACACCCGAGCGGTAACACAAAGAGATAAATGTGCCAATTCGACAGTACGCAAGGACATAATCAGAAGGTTAGAGGAATCACAACACTTTAAATCATTCTAACGATAGGCGAGTGTTTATTGTTACTGTATAACATTTACCTGTTTACAATTATAAACTATTATCGTGTGAAGTACTCACCTATAGATAAGTGTATGTTCTGATGAAACAAACAACACACACTCCCTTTGTCACGTTACTTCCTCGTTTATAATCAGAACGATTCCTTATAAAGGGAAATAACTCGCATAACATTATCTGGTTATAAGCCATCAAGGTAACACACAAGGATATATTTCATTATTAGTTAATTTCGTCAATTAAAGCCACAAAAACCATAAATAACGCCAGGAGTGGAGGAATTGGAATATGCAGCTGTGCAAAACTAGAGATATGATCCTGATACTAGAAATATCATTTTGAAGTAAGCCACCTTTGAATATTATTATTCATGCAATAAAAGCCAGAAATGAAGACAATTGGGAGTAAAACGTTTGGATTGATAAATAGGAATAGTGCTAGCCGATCAGAGGCTTCGGTTTGTTTCTGATTATTTTCTGGGTGGAATCGGAATCTATAACTTTGCACTTGCATTTCTATTTTTTATATTATGTTGCATACAATACATTTTGTTTAATTTTTGATGTACAAAAAGTATAATTCCTGGCTTCGTTGATAGAACTTCAGTTAGTACTTATGTCGATGAAACTGTACCAATGGAAAATGAAAATTGTATCAACATGGAAAGACTGGCTGAGAAAACAATCTTTGTGTACAAACTCATTGTATACATGTCTTAGTCAATTAAATACAGTAATTGGCAGTTGTAAGTAACGTTCTTTGTATATTTCTAAAAGCGAGATTTCGTTTTAGTGAATTTGGAAAATTTTAATTGGTCACAAAATTTGAAGAATATTCGTATACATTTCATTTTTGAAATGAAAGGATTTGCTTCACAAAGGACCATCATGTTTATTACAAATGTATAAATTTTGAATACATTTTATTAACCAGCTAACTCCTTAAAATCACTCCACAAGTATTCTTTGCAAGTGGTTGAATAAGCATACTTTGACGAATATGTCGATGAATCTGAACGCATCAGTGACATACATATGGCCCGGAAAATGTGTTATTTTACATTTAAACATAATGCGTATGAAAAATAGTTTCTCATACTCATAACAATATTTTAATATCAATGTATCCGATTAAATACTCTTTGTAGAATAATCAATACTCTAAAGATATTGCTTAATCCTGTTCAGATTTATTTAAAAGAAATGTCTAATCGCCAGATATTTCGTTTTCAACTATGTTGCTTCATTTAAAAAGGCGTCGTTAGAAATTATGGTTAAGTCAATTAACATTCGTCTGTGCATCTCACTAATTATTTTTTGGGTTCCCGCATCAATGTCAAATACTGTTTCTATGCATAGAAAATGTTAAACGGCTTTGTAAATTTCTTTCCTGTAAAGAAAACTAAACTTAGTTGAATTTTATTTGAAAACAAAATGACATCAGCAACAGTGCTCCAGGTGAAATAATGCAACAGGGCCAGATCAGGTCCTGAACCCTGGAAGGTGAATCTGCTACCAGGTCAGTTGTAGTAATATGCCCAGCCGAGATAATTTTTTCGCCAGAATAAAGTGTGGACGATCTTACGTAATTAATGAAAAACTACGATTGAGTTCTCTAATGGTTTGCTTGCAAAAGATCAAGGGTCTTTAAGAAATATGACCACATCACGAATGCATCTTTCTGTCTGCTTTATATTTTGTTTCACAAATATACATTTTAAACAAGTGGCACGTTGACATTTGATCATTTTGCCAAAGACTTCTGAGAGATAAGTACGGTATTTACTATTGTCAACCGAGGTTTAGGAATGATTCCCTCCAGTGTATTGTATCTTTGTATTTGTAAACGCTTAAAAGTAGTTTGGGTCCTTTTGTTGTTTTGTCATCAGCCCTTCTTGGGAAAATTGATTGAAATAGGAAAACGAAGACGTTTCCGCAATTTGATATACACCATGATCGTTTTAAGAGGCGAAAAATCAAACGTTTTCAAAGAATGAACATTGTTCTTTAAAATTGATTACGGCATTATTTTTTTTAATCTTATAACCTCACATTCAATAACTGATAACCGGAAGTAAACACATTTATTTAAATAATCACTCTAGTAAACCATTAACATATCAACAACACCTTTATTTAAATAATCACCCTAGTAAACCATCACATATCCAAAACACCCTTGTTTAAATGCTTACACTCTCTAATACACCATCACATATCAGCAACGCATTTTGTTTTTAAATAATTACTCGCTCAAGTTCAACCACACATATCAGCAATACCTTTGTTTAAATAATCATTTTAGTAACTGTTACATATCAACAACACCTATCTTACTGATAACTCTAGTACGATAACACATATCCGCAACTCTTTTAATGACAATTTACTCTTGTACACCATCACATGTCAACAACACATTTATTTAAATAATTACTCTAATACGACATCACATATCAAGAATACCTTTATTTAAATAATTCCTTTAGTACGACATCACAAGTCAATAACACCTATCTAAATAATAACTCTAGTACGACATCACACATCAACAACACTTTTATTTAAATACTCACTCTTTTACAACATCACATGTCAACAACGCTTTTATTTAAATGATTACTCTAGTACGACATCACACATCAACAACACTTTTATTTAAATACTTACTCTTTTACAACATCACATGTCAACAACTTTATTTAAATAATTCCTTTAGTACGACATCACACATCAACAACACTTCTATTTAAATAATTCCTTTAGTACGACATCACATATCAACAACACATTTGTTTTTTTGGAACCTTGCAAACATTTCACAAACAAAAATAATCATTGTTTACTAATGAGATATTTAAGTCAAGTTGCAACAATACAGCTATATTGATATATTATCTCTGGTATACATTTTATATTGTCAAAATCGCATTTTCTTAATAGATATTCTAGTAAAACATCAAATCAAAACAATACATCTATTGGATTAGTATACCTAGTAAACAATACATCTATTGGAGTAGTATATCTAGTAAACAATACATCTATTGGAGTAGTATATCTAGTAAACTATACATCTATTGAAGAAGTATATCTAGTAATCATTTAATCATATCATCAATACATTATTTTTTTTTATATTTAATGTAGTCAAACATTCTTCATATCAACACATATTTATGTCTAAATTCTGGTAAAGCATTTCACCATAGCAACACATATCTAAACGTTTATTCTGGTATAACATTTCCCTATAATAACATATATCTAAATCTATATTCTGGTAATACATTTCTCGACAATAACACATTTCTAAACTTCTATTTTAGTAATACATTTCACCATAACAATAGATATCTAAATCTGCTTTCTGGTAAAACATTGTTTATCGTGAGGACTCATATTTGCATGATTAATGTAGTAAATAAGCATGCCAGTAGGTTTTGAACTAAAAATCTTTTCATTCCTTCGCTTATTTTTTAAAATACTGTTTCAGAAGCTGTTGTTATTGCATTTTTTTAGTTTTTTCCTTGTTGCAAATATATTTGAAGTATCGTGTCGTTAATTTGTTAACAGTTCAAATTTATATTTGAAGTAAAAGTATTAACACACAATATGAGTTTCTTTGTTCTATTCTTTAAAATATAGGAAAGGTCTAAAGAAAAATATGTGTGTTTCTACATGAGATTAATAATTTCCGTTTGAGGGAACATTAATGATGGTGCCATTCAATAAACCGAACATTTTATGAAAAAAAGGAATGAACAGTTCATAAATAATATAACGGAAATTATTTGAATCTTCCATATCTTGTAGAAGTTCTTCTCTTTCAAGTTATATTTGTGGAAACCTATAACAGAACCCGTTCATGACACTTTCAAGTTACCCAACCAAATGTTCCCCTTTTTACAAACAGGCCAATGTTTTATTAGCAAGGCTTGTTGTGAAATTTCTTTTCTAGGTTGAGTTGGAATTCAGATATATCTGAATATCAGTTTTTGCTCTGATACCGTTTTTTATGGGTTTCTTTCTATTCTTTTTGTCACACCAACGCATAGTTACAATTCAGACTATTTTGTACATGATTTTGACTATCTAATGAATTTCGCTTCTTTCATAAAAAAAAATGAAAACAATGTAACTATGCATTACATTGACTTAACTCACTGGGTTTTTTTTAAATTCCTGTTTACGTCAAATCGTTTGGTAATTGTCTGTGAATATTCAGTTCTGAATCTGTGACTGTAATGACTAGTTGTGTGTTGTCACTTCCGAATAAAACGTTGGAAACACAGCATTGATGCAAATTTTTCTCTAAATCCTTGTCCCGTAAAGCCATACAGTAAAAGGTTCATAGAATGATTCAAAAGAGTACAAGTCTCTGCTACGATGGGAAGGTGAATCAAATTTAAATACGTGTTTTCGACACCATTAACCATTTCCTGAATAAAATAAACAAGTAATGGGAGAATTGCTGAAATGTAGAAGGCGGTAACTGCAAATAGCGTAGTGATTGTTTTCTTGGTGGAGTCATTCTTTATAGGTGTAGAACAAGAATTATATTCGTTGCCTGAAGTCAGACTGCGCCTCTTATTAGCTGATAGGATGAGTCCACGTGCAATTAAAGAATTAAAGATGCAGATTAAAAGGACTGGAATCAGAATGTAAACGAACATTTCAATGTAGGTACTGTATTTGAAGCAATAGACATTGGCGAACTCAGGCATAACACATGATGAGTTTTCGTCATCCCATTTGAGACATATTATCGGCAAATTGAGAGCAGCAATAATCAGAAAGGTCACGCCGATATAAATAAGTGCACGCTTTCTGGTACAGTACTGGTTAACATGGAACGGGTGGCAGACAGCTATGTAGCGATCAATAGTGACCGCTACTGTGATCCAGGAGGATAGCTGCATAAATATGAGTATGCAACTGAAGTCAACAGAGCAAAAAAAAAGGCTGCCCGATCTTGAAAGCTTGAAGAATCCGACAATCCGCATCCATTGAAAGATACCGCCGAAAACCAGCGAAGCCATGTCGGATAGTGCGAGGAACGCAAGATACAGATAAAATGAGGACGATTTGGACAGCTGGAACAATACAACAAACGACACAATGTTTCCCACAATCCCTAGGGACGA